GTCACAGTCATTTGATAGCCCACACTTACTATAGTGAAGAATCATATTTGGTCATGAGTGTATATTTGTCTATGAGTCCTAGGGCATTGTCTGAAAACATACATTGCAGCAACCTTGCTGCAGCTAAGTTAGTCTGGATCTGGTCAGAGCTCAATAGATATCATATATGTATACTTCTTTGAGTTGCAGGGGAGAAAGGTGGGATATAGTGAATACAAATATGTCAGACAAATTTTATTATCACTAACATTTTGTTATTTATTTATGTTTGTGTAGTTTCTTTTTGCCAAACTACTCCTTTTTAAAAATCTGATTACATGCACAATGGAGCCATAATCCAAATGGGTGCTTTCCATCTCTTTAATTCTTAACTAAAAAGTATACTCATCTGAATCTTGAACATATGCTAGCAAAACATTTTTAATCTTTTTAAAGTACGTATATATGCAGTCACATAAAGATCAGAAGAAAAATTATAATATCTCTATCAGTAGGCATTTCATGTCAACAGCATATATCAATATGAGCAGCATCACATCCATGTAAATAGTAAAAACAAAAGAAGGGTCTAATAACACCTGAACGACAAATACATTTATTACATCACAAGCTTTTGTGAGAGTGTTGCATGGTTCAGTCCCTGTGCCAATGCCTCTGTTGGGTCATTCACTGTTGCTGATGCGTAACTGTTAGAAACTGAGGCTGTCTGGAAGCGAGCAAAGGCCTATCACCTAAGGCCCATGAGAAAGAAATATGTACCACACAACAAAGACACTAGTAAAGAGACCAGACTCTGCAACAACCTCGGATGCCAACGGTATCCTCATTTGCACTTGGGCAGCACTATTACAGGATCTAATGTCAGTAGGGTTGCCAGTATCCAGGTGTTACCTGGATATCTCCCACTATTACATTGGATCTCCAGATAACTAAGATCAGTTCTCCTAGAGAAAATGGCTGCTTTGGAGGGTGGAGTCTATGGCATTATACCATGCTGAGGTTCCTCCCTTCCCCAAACCCCATCCCTCCCAGGCTTCATCCCCCAAATCCCCCAGGTATTTCCCAATTAAGCACTGGCAAACCTAAATGTTAAAGATCGCTTCATTGGTTACCCTTTTTGTATATCTATACATAAAAATCTTGATGAATAATAATTCATTTCATGACATGGGCTTCAGCCTATAAAAGCTTATGCTACAATTAATGAATTAGTCTTTAAAGTGCTACAAGAATTTTGTTTTTGCTGCAATAGACCTACACCCCACTGGAATCTAAATAGTATTATAGAAATTTTATTATTATCTTTATTATAGAGATGATCAGCTAAAATAGTGGGATAAAAATAGCAAGACATTGAATTTTTAAGGGAAAAGCAGACACATTTTTAAAAAGAGAAGTTGCTTTTAAAATGTCAAAGCACTTCCAGCATAACTGATCAATTATATATCAGCTTAAAAATCCCTTGCTATCCAGCTGCTCAGTGCCTGCTATATTATCAAAGATACTAAATGCCATTCTCTTAATTATTGTATTAAAATTGAAATCACTAAAATTATGAAAAAACCCTAAGGATTCTTCCTATCTTGGTTACTTAATCATTATTTTTGGTTCTATCCAAATTCGAAGGCATATTTAGCTAACCTAAAATCTTTTTCTTGTCTATCAAATCTTTAATCCTGTACACAATGGAGACCTAAGATGAAATCTCTTCCTTTGGATTTTTTTTCAAAATCAAGAGTAAAACTGTTTATCAAATGAGGAAGATTAGTTCAATTATATGTTATTATTAAAATAATTTGCTGGTATTACAGTTAATCCATTCAAGCAAGAAAGCATTAATTCACACACATTTATCTGAGGGGCAGCAGAAAAAGAAACCACATTCCTATGTATTAAAATTCTCTATATATTCACAGTATAGTTCTTTCCTATTTACTGTAGTTAAATTGATAGATATTCCTCTATGTGTATAAAAATTCACAAGTCTTCATGATACTTATTGTATGAAACAGACAAAACTGGCCAAGGATACCAAAAGGCATAACATGAGTTATTGTGTCACATGGCAAGAAAGGTTAGTGAAATCAAGATGAGACAAACATATCTGAGTCTTCTGAGAAATATTTTAGTGAAAGCATGGGACATAAGTATTTTAATAAACTAAAAGAGCAAGAGTCCAGTAGCCCCTTAAAGACTAACAAACTACATGGGAGGGTATCAGCTTTTGTGAGTCACTGCTCACTTCTTCAGATACTTCTGAAGAAGTAGTGACTCGCGAAAGCTCATACCCTGCCACGTATTTTGTTAGTCTTTAAGGTGTTGCTGGACTCTTGGTCTTTTCTGCTGCCACAGACTAACACAGCTACCCATCTTAATAAATTAAATAAGTGAAAATTAAACACCAGTAGAAGAAAACCAGAAAACTAAGGTAATTCACAAAAATCATTCAGAGTAGTAGGATGTAAGTTACTGTACCTACGGTTAAGTTATCCTCTCTATTTTATTAATAAGGACAATTCAATATGCCTTTACACAACCCACTTTCAAAGTTTTGTAATGGCACAGCAAGTAATAATTAGCTACTTTACAATTACCAGAGGCTTAGGAATTCTTATAAAGTAAAAAGATCAGAAGCTTGCACACAGGTTTTGTGTACAACTCTTTGGAATTTCAAAGGCATACTGGCATACAGCAAATATTTGCAATTTGCAAATCAAATTATCAAATGCCCTTATAGGTATAATGAGTTACAGGTGCTTTGTAAAACACAACTGCCACAAGGAAACCACTTAACACTTTCCACCTAATGCTCCTATTATTATTCAGATTTGTACCCCGCCCTCCCCCGTAGGGCTCAGGGCGGCTTACAGGGCAAGATATAGACAACAATACAAAAATAACAATATATTTGCATTATAAAAACATTATATACAGTTTAAAACCCATCCTATATCACATAAAGTGCTCGGTGATAACTAACTTCAAAACCCAAGATGGCGGGACAGTTCCAAACAGTTCTTGGGAGACAGTCTATAGCGTCACGATGTTCCAAAGATCATCTCAGGGCCTTTCTCTGGGCCTCTTCCAATCCCCCCCAAGATGGTAACACAGTAGGGGGGGCAGCGGCCCCTACTCGAAAGCCTGGTGGAAGAGCTCCGTCGTACAGGCCCTGCGGAACTGCATCAAATCCCGCAGGGCCCGGATCTCCCCCGGGAGCTCATTCCACCAGGTAGGGGTTGCTACCGAAAAAGCCCTGGCCCTTGTGGCGGCCAATTTTACATCCCTGGGGCCCGGAATAGTTAGCAGGTTTTGGGCCCCAGACCGTAGTGCTCTTGGGGGAACATACGGGGAAAGGCGGTCCCTCAGGTAGGTTGGACCCAGACCATATAGGGATTTATAGGTCATAACCAGCACTTTGAAGCGAATCCGGTATGCTATTGGCAACCAGTGCAGCGCTTTCAGCACAGGCTGTATGTGGTCCCTTCTAGAGAGACCCATTAACAGCCTGGCCGCAGCATTCTGCACCAGTTGCAGCCTCCGGATTTGCGACAAAGGCAGCCCCATGTAGAGAGCGTTGCAGTGGTCTAATCTCGAGGTGACCGTCGCATGGATCACTGTGGCCAGGTCATCCCGGTCCAGGTAGGGGGCCAACTGCCGAGCCCGCCGCAGATGGAAAAAGGCAGACTTGACGGTGGCTGCCACCTGGGCCTCCATTGTCAAAGCGGAGTCCAGGTGTACTCCCAAACTCCGAACCCCAGACGCTGGCACCAAAGGTACCCCGTCGAAGGTCGGGAGAGGGAGCCCCAATCCTGTCCCGGCCCGACCAAGGCCCAGGACCTCCGTCTTCGCCGGGTTTAGTTTCAGTAGGCTCAGCCGGAGCCAACCAGCCACAGCTTCAAGTGCCCGATGCAGGTCATCGGGACCCGAGTCCGACCGGCCACCCAACATCAGATAGAGCTGGGTGTCATCAGCGTACTGATGGCACCCCAGCCCATAACTCCGGATAATCTGGGCAAGGGGGCACATATAGATGTTAAATAGCATCGGGGACAACACTGCTCCCTGTGGTACCCCACACTCAAGGGGATACCTCTGGGAACGCTGATCCCTGAGAACCACCCTTTGTCCCCGACCTTGCCGGAAAGAGGCAAACCATTGGAGGGCAAGCCCCTGAATCCCTACGTCGGCAAGGCGATGGGTCAGCAGCTGGTGGTCGACCATGTCGAACGCTGCCGACAAGTCCAACAACACCAGCGCCGCCACACCACCTCGACCCAGATGTCTCCAGAGATCGTCTGTTAGGGCGACCAAAGCCGTCTCGGTCCCGTGACCTGGGCGGAAGCCGGACTGGAAGGGATCTAAGACTGAAGTATCCTCCAGAAAGCACTGTAACTGTAACGCCACCGCCCTCTCTATAAGTTTGCCCAAATAGGGCAAATTGGACACCGGCCGATAGTTGGCCAATTCGGCCGGGTCCAGAGATGTTTTTTTTAAGAGAGGACGGACCATCGCCTCCTTGAGCGCAGTCGGGAAACGCCCCTCGGAGAAGCAGGGCTGTCAACAGGCCTGCATAAATGTCCTGTCTTTTTACCAGAGGCTGAATGGGGTGCTATTTATTTACCTTCATTCCATGGAAAGCTTCAATTTCCCATTTCTACGTATTAAGCCTCGATTAGAGGAACAGGATAATTTTCTCCAGGACAGGTGGCAACACTAGTGGTAAGCTGTTGATAGGCACTGTTCCTCATAGGTTGTCTCTACATTTCCACCAGTATTCTTGCTGATAGTTTGCACAAGCATGCAGACAAGATACTTGGTGAAGGTTGTAAAGCCCTATGAATTGTGGCTACAATCATTAAAGATATGCACTAGTGTGAAGCAACATTTACCTTTTATGTCATAAAACTTTAAATGTTATCTCTCTAATATATCCAAATTCCTGAAAAATTAATAATTATAACAACCACCACCCTTTCCTTTTACAAAAATCTTTTACTTACAGATCAGTCAAATTCAGGTGACGGAAAGACTTTCTAGACAAACTGGACAGCTTGTTTCTTGAGAAGTTACTATAAAAAAGCAAAATTCCATTATTAAATATGATGTTTTGAAATTTAAAAGGAACTTCTGCTTTGTCCTCAGGAAAGTTACTGGCTTTCTTGCAGTCTTTGGAAACATGATGACCTACAGGAGTGACACAAATTATCCTCTATTGGAATACAAGAGTAAACATAAAGGTAAATATTAATCACAATGCACACCTTGTAGGAGGTCAATTCATGTAAGATGGGAAAACGGTGAATTAAAAAGTACTCCAAATAATTTCTCAGATGTTGACTACATGCTCAATTTATTAATAAGCATAATACATGTTTCTCATATCTTCTTTGATCCTTCATTGAAGTCAGTACTTACCTAAACCCTGATCATATGCCAGACATTTTTTTAATCTTAAGTCAGTTAGATATCTTTTTAAAAATACAGTGCAATATGCACCCACATGAAAGATCACAGAAAAAACTGCAGAGTGCAATCATTAGACTTTCACATTGATTAAGAATTTACTGCTTCATATGAACTTTAATGTCTTCTGCCACACTGAAGATCAGAGGCATTCTTACTCTAGACAAGGTTCATACTATGGGAGGCACACCTTCACTAAAGCTAAACTGGGCAAAAATAAAGGTATGTGGAGCAGAAATTTGTTCTCCCCCCGCAGTGGGATTGTGCAGCCATATAAGGAAACAGTACAAGACTATGGTACTTGCTCTTAACTTTATGTTTAAATTAGCTTTTCTTCCAATCATGAAAAAAGGAGATTACACCACGGCCCATGACAAAACTGCTTCACTGTCCTATTGTTCTATATGAGTTTGCATTAACAGCATAAAGAGTAGAATATGCTGTAAAACTGGCAGCCTTTTAAAATATAAGGTGCATGTTTAAAAATAAAGCCTATCAAACTCAGTCCAATAAAATCAATTTATTTCAGTAATCTAGTATAGCACACTAGGCCATTGTTGGGAAACCATCTTCAGGCATTCAAGGTTTCATAAAATATGCAGTAAAATCAACAACTGATCTTATTTGCTATGTAACTGAATACATTTTATAATATATACATGAGTAAGCATGTGTACCTACATTGTGCTCTGAGTGCACAATAAATTTGCTAAAATGAAGTATCTAAAAACTGACATGTTATTAAGTTGGATTGTTTTCCATTCTGCCAAGGAAATTTTTAAAGTCTGAAGGTTAAAAAGGAACATCCACATTATTCTTTAAAATAAAAAAAAACTATGTAGGGCAAGTTCACACATATATTTTTCCCTAGTATCTTCAGACCATCCTCAAGGACAGGACTGTATGGAGAAAGTTACGAACTGGCAGAATATGGATACTGCTATAGGAACCCAAAACAGTCTTCATACATATTCTTCAAACCACTTAATCAGTACATTTCTCCAGAGTAGGGGCCTTAGGACTTTATCCTCAAACGGCAGTCATCTAAGAGATTATCTCTGCAGTTCATCTCATTTTCCATCCATTATGTTTATGTAATGCAGAGATTCTCAGTTATAATAAGTCACACTAATCAAGAAAACTTTGAGATGTTCCAAGTTTAACAGTGACAGATACTTCTCCATGTGGTACTGTAGTACAGTTTTTCTGAAAATTCCAGGCTAATCAAAGGGAAACTATGTGGGACAAAAAATTTCCAAAATAACTTGGTCTGGTTCTTGGTTCGCATCATCAAACAAACAAACAAAAGGTGAAAGCAGTTTACACTTTCTGATGCAACTTTCCACATCTCCCTAAAGATACCCTCCCACACTTTGGACTTTATAAGTGCTGTTCTATTACAGTTACAATTTATTTCAATTCAGAACTTTGCATATGAACAGCTACTGCCAATGTTCCCTCGAAGCTGAGTTAGTGTGAGCTAGCTCACAGTTTTGCCTCCAGCTCACACATTTTTGTCTTAGCTCAGGAAGGATGGCTCCAGAGCAAACTAATTTATGTAGTAGCCAAATCGCTCGCTCACAACTTTAATGTCAGTGGCTCACAAAGTACAATTTTTGCTCACAAGACTCCACAGCTTAGAGGGAGCTTACAGCTAGAAAACAGAAAAGAATATCACTTGTATCTATATGACCCACAGTTTTCAAGACTTATGCAAGGCTGTTAACAATAGGATGTTTCGGAGGTCATTAATTCATAGAGTCTCCATCAGTGTTCCCTCTAAGCTGAGTTAGTGTGAGCTAGCTCACAGTTTTTTAGCCTCTGCCTCACACATTCTTGTCTTCACTCAGGAAGGAGGGCTCCAGAACAAACTAATTCATGCAGCAGCCCAATTGCTGGATCACAACTCTAATGCCAGCGGCTCACAAAGCAGAACTTTTGCTCACAAGACTCCACAGCTTAGAGGGAACATTGGTCTCCATAAGTTGGAAGCTACTTGACAGCACTTCACACACACACACACCCTAACCTGAACAGCCCAGACTAGCCCAATGTCATCAGATCTTGGAAGTGAAAGAGGATTGGCCCTGGTTAATATTTGGACAGAGAGGCAGGCAGTAGTAAATCACCTCTGAATATTTCTTGCCTTGAAAAATCCATGTCAGCTGTGACTTGACGGCAACACACACACACATCATCATCATCATCATCATCATTATTATTATTGATTTACAATTTAGCCCTGAAGAAAAAGTTGTTTCTTCACTCCTTTCCTTGACCTACCATTAAATAACTTCATTCCAAGTTCATGCATTATATTAACTAAGGAGGCATAGGGCAAAGTTTGAGTCCAGTAGCACCTTCAAGACGAACACAGTTTTATTCAAGGTATGAGCTTTCTTGTGCACGCACCCTTCCTCAGATGAGCGTGCCTAGTTAGATATTGCAATAGAGGCAATAATAACTCAAGAGTAATAAATATGCACTTCCATATGAAGAAACCCAAAACTGGGCACTCAACACACTTTAATAATCAGATAAGAATTGTTTGGAGGTGGTGGCATTAGGGGTGACAATGGCATAAATCCTACCTAACATAGAATTTTCCTGTGTTCAGTTCTGATCCTATAGTTTCTTCCAAATTCCAGAAAGGTCACTCTCAGGGTCATGGAAACCATGTGAAGGAATAGGTTGGAGAGGATTGTAATGAAGAAGGACAAAGAAGTGGAATCACTCCTCCTTCTTATGCAAGCACAGCTTCATTGAGTCAATTTCATCACCTTGTACATCCTCACTCCAACCCACCAACCCCTATAACTGTTCCTCACATAGATCCCAGGAATATTCTTTCCAGGAGTTGGAATCTTTCTATCATAGGCCCTTTCTGCACCTGTATTTTGCCTTGGTTTCTGAGTGCATCCTATTCTTCCATTCTGCATTCCCTCCCGCTTTGACTTCCAGTTTGTGTCAGGGCTTTTTCTTCTTTCTGCATTTGTTTTACAGGAATCTGCATTCAGACCACTTCCAGCACACTGTTGCCCCACAGCTACCAAAACTCCCTTTTCTGCTATTCTTTGTTCTCATCCACTTTCGAATTGCTAATCCTTTCTAAAGTAGAATTGTTTCTGTGGGTATTGAAGTGCTGCCCACTGCCCACCCCCATTTCTGCCTGATGCTGATGTTCCATCCCCATTCTGTTTTCTTTCCCTCCTTCTCCAAAGACAAAAGAGGATGTATCCTCCTGCCAGACAAACTTTTTAAAAGTCAGAGAGAGCATAAGAAGGAAGCAGTCAATAAAGGACTAGGGGAGTCCCTGCTCCCAAATGTGTCAGTCTTGCATGTGTGGGCCTGGATTTCCCCCCTCCCTTTTCCTTTCTACAGAATACACAAATAAATAAACTGGAGGGAAGGGGGGAACCAGTGCAAAGGGAATGTGTGTGACTGCAAAGTCAACCATAAAGGCTTAACTCCACGGATTCTCCAGAGCAAGCTGTCAGTGCAGAAATGGCCATCGTTATTTCCGCTTCTGGATCTTGTACTGTGAGTACGTATGGCAAATCTTTTATTCTTGCCTTAGCCTGATGAGTAGCCAGGAACACAGCCAAGCATAGCACCTTGAAGTCAGAAATGATGATTGCTGCTTCATCAGGAACAGAGCCCTTTCTTAAAGAGCACTGCCAATTCCTTATTGTCAAAAGAAAGATGGTCAAATGCCAAATAAATCATTTCCCAGAGTAAATACTGTTATCTTGCCATACAGGCAAGGTAGTTGGCTACTTTCAGGGAAAATGCAGCAGACCATGCTACCAAATTTTCTCCCCTCCTTTTCCCTAGGTGCAGAAGGCTCTCCAGATTTTCAACACAGGGCTGTGGAAGCTGGTTTCCCTAGCCTTGACTGACTCATTAGACTCTGAGGTATTGTGATCTTCCTACTCAAAGAGAGAGGAAGAAGGTGCATTTTCAACTCCTAGGGACAGTCAGGTCCAATGTGGGCAGCTGGGCTGATAGTGGCTAGGGCTTCAAGAAAACTTCCACAAGTATTAATACCAATGGTGCACAGCAGGTACTGATGCAGGCAGAGTAACATGCATCACTATCAGGACCAAGGGCTGTACTGTCAGTTCCTAAGGAGGACTCAGTGCCAGACATGACAGGCAGGAGACTAGCCAACAATACTGACAATTGATGTCAATGTTCATGTGACAAAACTCACTGAGTGCTGGTGTTGAAAACTCACAGAAGCAAGAAGTGAGCAGTGCCTTTCAGAAGTTGTCAAGGACTGATCCCAGTCTTTGTAATAACAGTGTTTGTGCTCTCTGCTCAGTAAGGAGGACATCAACAAGAGACTGGTTAAAAATGATACAAGACCGAGGCTGGCAATGGCTGTGATCATGCGAGCAGTTTGGCCTGACGCAGCCACCCCTCCCCTCTGGATCAAATGGGCACAGTCACACAGCCACATCTGTCAGGTGTTCCCCCGGCATACTCATCCCATCATAGGATGACGTGGAGCTGGGTTAAAAAGGTACTACATCACAAGTGGTGTTTTTTGTGCCCCGTGCATTCATTGCGCAAGGCCAGATGTCTGAACATGGGGGAGTGCTCACAGAACAGATTAGGCAGTCTGAACCTGCAGATCCGTTTCTGCCACTAGTGAGGTTTTAAAATTTTTTTGCCTATATGCACCTGTCTACACATGCACACGAATGCATGTGCATGAGCACACATGCATTTTGAAAATTTTACGGGCAACACACTCCGTGGCTGAGGTGTTGCAGTAATGTGGATGCTTGACCACGGGATGTCTGCAAGGGTAACCCACAGCAGGGTGTGCTGTATGGATGACATGCCCCGCAACACTTCAAACCAGTACAATTAAAGGCAGCACCATATCGCACCAAGGCACCAGTGTGACCACAGCCAATATTAGCTCCAGAAGACTGATGATGAATGCCTAGAAGAGCCAGGATATCACTGCAGGACAGGGAATTATCTCAATAATATGTGAGTGGCAGTAGACTTGGATGTGGTGGTTAAAGAATAGCTTGTATGGAGTCTTCTAACTGACTTCAGAAAAATATCCCAAGATCGTAGGACTGGGACTTCCAAATCATACACAGAAACATCCCCTCCAGAGGATGGGACAGACAGTGAAGGAGTGGATCTCCATATGTCTAACTTATGGATGCTTCTCCTTCTGTTTTCCTTCCTTAGTTCCGACGGTGGTCAGGACCAACATTTCTGCCTCCATGAATTCATTTGCTGTTGACTTAGTACTGAATAGTGTGGTAGTAATGGTCCCAGTAACAGAAGAGGAATTTAGCAGCACTACTACCAAACACTGGATGGTCAATACCATTGATCAGCCAATGCTTCAGAGGCTGAGTGGACACCCAAAGGGCAACTAAGAGCTTGGTGGATCAGTTGCACCAGTTTGCTGTTCAGAAAAACTGATGCAGTGGATGCTAGTACTCTGTTCTCTGAGGCAGAGGGGACACCACTCACAGCCATCAATCAATGATAACTTTCCTCTGCATTGCTGACACCTTAAAAGTTGTCCACTGTGCCACAGGATAGGGTTAGGTGGGGACAGAAAAGAATGCTTAAAAAATTGATAGAAGATAGAAAAGATAAGAACAATTGAAAGAAGAAAAAGGAGGGAAAAATCACTAGGTATTTTTAGAGATGAAAAAACTAGCCACAGAAAAGGAGTCTCTGAAGAGAATGTTCCCAAATATTGCTGCAGATGAAACTAACAAGAGAGAACTGAGCATGGAGGGTGGCTGCTGCCAGACCTGGCCGGCGAGCTCACCCTTGGTTGGCCAGCGCTCCCACGCTGAGCTGTGATTGGCTCGCCCTACCCATGCTTCATCCAAAAAGATGGTGGGAGGCAGGCAAACGGCAGCACCTGCTCCATGGGCAGGCACTGGTCTTCTCTTGATTTACTATATATAGAACAAATAGATTTGAAAGACTATAATCAAAACTGCAAATCAAATTCCATGGTAACTGACCTACCATCTTCTATGCAAACTCTAGGCTCTCTTTGTATATTATGTGGCAGCAGTTTGTTGTAATGCATATATGTGAAGAGGAAGGGATGGATACATGCACTTGTATAACAAACATATCGCCCAGTTCAACTAAAAACAAACATGAGCTGTTTTCGTGATTCAGCAACCACTGGGCAAGGTTGGTTGCACATCAGAGCAAATATTCAGGTATGAATACTATATATCTGCATTTTCGTTGTTTTTCTTGAAATCTAAATTTAAATAGGCATTCAAAAGTACATTCCCATCAACATTCTGTCACAATCGACTTGCATATACCTTTTAATGATATAATGTCACATACATACATTAGAATTTCGCAAGTAATTATGAAAATGTAATATGTGAAGCACTAATTAATAAATTTTTGTTGTTCTGTCGCACAGTCGAGTCAGTGCTACCTAATAATTTTTCCCTATGGTTGCAAGTATGAAAACAACTTTTTAGCCTTTGGATTGTCTAACACTTTTAACAGTCCAAACCTAGCAAGTAACTTCCTTTTTAAAAGTAATTTTGCAATATGTAACAGAATAATTCTTAAAATTTCCTTATTTTTTTCCCAAAGAACCATTCCTATACACACTTCTTCAAGAGGATTAACTATGACAAAACGTCGGCAGTTCTGAAGTCATAAAGTAAGTTTCACTTACATGTACTGCAAGTTGGTATTTTTCAGGAAAGCCAGACGTGAGACAAACTTCAAACCCGAATCCACCACTGTTCTGTGAAAATAGGAAAGTTAGAAATGTCAAGATGATGTGAAATGGTATAGTATAGCCTGATCGCATCAGATCTCGGAAGCTAAGCAGGGTCAGTACTTGGATGAAAGACCACCAAGGAAGACTTTGCAGAGGAAGGCAATGACAAACCACATCCACTTAATCTCTTGCTTTCAAAACCCTATGGGGTACCATGTCAGCTACAACTTAACGGTACTTTACATAAACGCACACCCAGAACTGTCAAGTATTATATCAGCTTAAATTATCTGTATATCTAATAACCACATGGGGTTCATCTACAAATACTTATATCCACTGACTGAGCCCACATGAAGAGCAGTGAGATTTTTCTCCAAACTGGGGAAATCCCCCCACACACACACATTTGCAGAAAAATCTAAAAATGTTTAAAAAATACATTGGGGGATTTATATCCCTCCCAAAAAAATCCCAATAGTGCTGTCTGCACCTGCACAGCTCCTATAAAGCTGAGGCAGCAAAGCTGTAAGCAAGTGGGGGAGGAGAAGCCACCACCATTGAAGAGGCCAGGTGTGCAGGTGGGTGAACGGCCAAGGAGCAAAAAGGCTGGGCAGCTGGGGAAGCAGCCAGCAGAACTGCTGAGATGGTGAAGCTGGCAGGGGGGAGCAGGCAACCCACTGCCAAATAAGAGGCTGGGCAGCAGGGCGAGGGACCAGGGAGCCACCAAAAAGGCTGGGGAGCAGCCAGTTATTTTTTTTTTTAAACTCCGCAATGATGGGGAATTCTTAGAGTGAATGTCAGGAGGCGCAGCCTCTATTGTTGTTCTCCTTTTTTGTGTGTGTGGGCAATGTTTCCATCCTCCCTAACAGTTCAGCTCTGTTGAATTAACTATTAGAAGTCTGAGGTGCCTCTATATAGATTAGAAAAATCAGGAATGTGCGAAGAATTCGGCACCTGCTTTTATCTGCTTTCATTGCTGATCAGCTTTCAGAACTATGTTGTTGGTTTTCTGTAATATTTTTTTAAAAAAAGCAAGGTACTTTTCAACTGAAATTCAGCCTGAGTGAAAAAAGAGCAAAGCCTAATTCAAAGTGACAGTAGTTTTCCTCGCCTCTCTGGCCTCTTTCTCTCTCATGTTAGGCTTGGTCTCTTTCTTGCAAGGCAAGCTAGAGTGAACGAGGGACATCCGCTTTGCTTCTGGCAGAAATAGACTTCAAATAGACCCCCCCCCCCAGTAGCAATATGGCCTCACTGCATATTTCAGCCTCAACCCCCCCCCCCCCCCGACCAGGATCAGGTGAGCTGCAAATGCATGTAGGGGGGAGTCCTGGGGCAGCGGTGGGGGAAGAGAAGGGGGTGAGAAAGTGGGATCAAAAGATGTGGGGCAGGCAGGTGGGCTAAGAAGCATTCAGAGATAAGTTTGGATTCAAATGCATCCCCAGGTTGTGGACTGAGGATGGTGTGCCACCCCCCCCAGAGCAAGGAAGAAACTCCCATTCTGGATTGACCCTTGACAGCACCCCACCCCTTCTCTGGATTCAGCACTAGTTGCTTGGCTCTCAGTTCCAAGCTCCCTGCTCACACCACCCACTGTTTCATCTGACTTTGAAATGGAGTTGTGTGTAGCTTAGTGGTGACTTCTCATTTCAAGCCCCAAGGTGGGTTCAGCGGGGCGGGGTGTGTGTGTGCTAATGAATTACAAGAGGAATGCCCATTGGAAACAATGGGAACTGCCTGAATGTCCGAACTCCTATTGATCTGAATGGGCTCCATTGAAAGTACAAAAGAGGCTTTTAAAATGTGGCACACATGGAGAGAAACAAGGCACAGCTGCTGAGCTGGCAAAGCTGGTGGGGGGGAGAGGAGGAGGAGGAGAAGAAGAAGAGTTGGGTTTATACCTCGTCCTTCACTCGGAGTCTCAGTATGGCTTACAATCTCTTTCCCCAACAGCCACCCTGTGAGGTAGGTGGGGCTGAGAGAGCTTGAAAGAACTGCTCTTGAGAGAACAGCTCTGAAAGAACTGTGACTGGCCCAAGGTCACCCAGCTGGTTTCATGTGGAGAAGTGGGGAATCAAACCTGATTCTCCAGATTAGAGGATGCCGCTCTTAACAACTACACCAAATTAGAAAGAGAGGAGTGGCAGTAGATAGACAGAAAATAACGGGGGACTCAAAGAGAGAGACACAGAGACAAGGTGGGGGAAAAGAATCAAGGGTGGGGGAATGGCACAGCTGGTCCCATAAGTTTTTTGTGGGTCCCCACTTGTAAGAAGTTTAAATAGTGAACTGTTGGTTCAGGAGCTACACCACATCTATCAATACTGTGGCTACTGAACACTGTTAACCCTAATTCTATTATGAATGCAAGAACTTCAGTGTGCAAATGTGTTAAGTGTTTTTGCCTTTAAGAGGAAAATTCATTCACTTGTTTCAATCCTTTTCATGCACAGCTGCATCCCCTCTATTGAAATGTATGATGATAGCAACACATGTAAAACTGTGTACAAGGTGTCAAGATACATGCATTACTGGATAAAGATACATCATTAACTACAACAACCATACATAACAAAACCATATACTCACAGATTTTTTAATCCTACATAAAGGCCAACATCTTGTTCATTGATGCTTTCTAGCTTCCGCTGGTTTGCAATATAACTATTTCAAAGGGGAAGAAAAAAACAAGGAGAGAAGGTCTGATCAAGAAATCCTGTTACTCTGTTATTGCATCCATTCCTTCTCATTCAGATTTTAAAAAGCCATCCCCAGGTTGGATTCTACCATGAAGAAGCAGAAATTCACACTAGCAGATCTTCCCCACTTCCCTTTCCTACAGCAGCCCTCTGGGCACACTGAAAAATTTCTGCTAAGAGTCTCAAGGGACCCTATAAACAAAATGTCATGCAGCACAACAAAGTGCTGCAATAAGGGTGGAAGGAATCAGGAAAATTCCCCCCACTCCCCTGTTCTGAGGCTTGTTTAAAAGTATTTGGTCAATGGACAGATCAAATACTGTCAAATAATGATTAAGATATTTTTAAATCATTAACTTTATTAGAACAACAAAGTACTTCAGTCATCAGTGTGTTTCATATATATGCTAACTACAAAATCAAGTTTGCTAACTGTTATTGTGAAACAATTAATTTTAAAAAACTAGGAATGAATTATTATAATTGTGAACAATGTTAAATAATATTTCTAAAAATGTTAACAATTCACTGAACAGTTCTGCTCATCAAGGTAGAATTTAGAATTTTTTTGGAGGGGGGTTAAGTATAGCAGAAATAAGGAAAAGTAATAGCAGCTATCAAAAAAGCCAGTTTTTAAAGGCAATTGTTGCAAATTAACACTATAATAATGACATAACAACATAGGTCTCGAGCTAGACTATGGCATTCTGTGCTTCATGGAATACTTGCTAATGCCTGACCACAGTCAACTAACAGTTAATTCATCCAACAGAGATCAGGAGAAAAGTGGCCAGATTTACCTTTAAAGTGATAAATTCAAGAATGGTGGGGGATAGCATAATAAAATTTTACATTACAAAATTAGATCTGTACCAGACATATTGCCTGCATGCTGGTTTTAACCCAGAGGAAATTTCTAGGCATCAAACATTTCCCTCACACCCTTAATGCAGAGATTTATTGCAAAGAAGACTGCCATCATTTACTGGCCTCTGACTGCCATGTCCCCCCTACCCAACACACCTCAAATTCAATTTCAGTGGTAGCTTCCTGAGTAGTCTAAATGTAAGCAAGTGTTGCTCTATGCATGCAGACTTGACACATGCTAAGCAAATATCAGATGCATCATATAACAGCGACAGCACAGCAGGATATAAACAGAAAAGCAATATAAAAATAAATATAAAATAAAACAGAAATTACTACAGAGGTTTATGCACAAGTTCCCTCCTGAGGGCCATCAAAGGCAAACTCATCTAAACCTTTAGTGCTCATTAAGGGCTAGTGCAAAACAAATGAAACAACAGTATGGATTATTAGAATAAAAACCTTGTTGCTCATCATTACTGAGAGCCTCTACTGAGGTTGGCGAAGGCTCTCACACAGAATGTTCAAGCCTGTTTACAAAACCAGGTAATCTCTGATAATAAATCAGAATTATAATCAAAATTTTGTAATGTCTGTGTCGAATTTTTTTAAAGGCTCATACTCTTTTTAAAATTAAAAATGGATAAGAGATTAAACAGAACGCAAATAAGCATAAAACAATATTAGGCCACAAACCAATATAAGAAATACTGAATGATGTTAAGCTACTCTGAAAAGCTAAATTTATTCAGATCTGAATTATATTGTTGTTTACAGAAATTAACCCAGGGCAACCAACCTAATTCAAAACTTGTCAGGGCTCTACTGGTAGCAGGAGCTCCTTTGCATATTAGGCCACACACCCCTAGTGTAGCCAATCCTCCAAGAGCTTACAGAGCTCTTCTTACTGGGGCTACTGTAAGCTCTTGGAGGATTGGCTACACTAGGGGTGTGTGGCCTAATATGCAAAGGAGCTCCTGCTACCAGTAGAGCCCTGAATTCTACAAAAATTCTGTTATTCTCAACACATCTTCAATTTTCCATACTTTCTATACAAGGTTGTTAATGCAGGAATCCTTAGACGAATGTTAAACAGTCCCCATGTCTTTCACTCTGAATATGTTTCAACACTGAATTTATCCTTTATTATCTACAACTTTCAAACAAACTAAGAGTTCAGAACTAAGTACAGGATAAAAACATTCTGTTTCTGCACTGGTCCCCACTAGCTTTTTTACTCCCTTAGGACTCAGAAAAGAAAAGGGCACTAGAGATCATATTGCAAATTTATAGAACAAAGTTTGAATACAGTGGCACCTTTAAGACAAACAAAGTTTAATTCTGGCTATAAGCTTTCATGTGCATGCACACTTCATCAGATACATTGAAACAGTTTTCCTCAAGTCTTACACATAGGTAAAGAGAGGGTGACTTCTGGTTGATGGCGGCACGCTGGCAGACTCACCTCCCGGACCTCCCTGGGGTGAAGCTGCGCTCCAGCCAAAGGAGGGGGGGTTGCAGGCTCACTACTCCCCCAGGGACCCGGCTGAAGGGACCCTGGCCATGGAGCTTTTGAGAGGTTGCCTCTTCGATGGCGTAATGCCGGAGAATTGAGGCACCTCTCCGCTCTGACGGTTCTTCGTGCTGAGAGACCAAATGGACTAAGTGACGCTGAGAAAAGACGCTCCCCTCCCCCACCCCACGGAACAGAAGATAAGGCGAGCGGGGGCGGGACGCCTCCCAAACGCATAGACTTTAGAGCGATTGAGGGGGGGGAGTGAAACCATAAATGGTTAAAACTGCTAAGGAGTACTTACCAAGGCGAGTGCGAGTGTTTAAGCACATATTCAGAGACTTTCAAAAAGTTTGCGAAAGTAAACAAAGAGAAAAACATGGCGAGGAAGAGGACGGAGAAAGAGAAGCATCTGAAATCGAAAGTAACTGAGAGCCCAAAACCGGAAGGAGCCTACGAGCTGGCAAAGACTTTGGCAGACTCCATGCACCACCTGCTGGACCAAATTAATAATCTTAAAGAGCAGATGACATCAATGACCCAGTGACCACTCACCAAAATCAAATAAGCGAGACTTTGAAAATGATGAATCAAACAAATGAGAAGGTGAAAGAAGTGGACGCCACTACCCAAAAGGTGAAGAAGAAAGTACAAAAACTGGAAAAGAAGCAAGTTTCTACAGAAGAGCAGTTGCTACAATTACAAATGGAAAAGGCTAATATGATTCTTCGCTTTCAGGACATGCCAGAGAGAATCTGAAGGAAATGATGAGTGAAATACTGGCCCCAGTGACAGAGATGAAGGCGGAATTTTTGCTAAGTGAAATGGATGTGGCCTATAGGTCATATTCAGGATACATAAAGAAAAATAATCTGCCTGGGGAAATTGTCGTAAGATTCTCAAAGAGGCATGTAAGGGATGCAATCCTGAAATACTGCATCTGGAGCACCCCTGAGAGCTGGGGAGAGTGTCATCAGAGTACTGAAGGATATTCCATTTGAAATAAGACAGCGGAGAAAGAAATATAAAGATCTTGTTCTTTTTCTTCAAACAAATTCAATTTGATATAGATGGCTAATTCCAGAAGGCGTCACCTTTAAACTTAAGGATAAAAAAGAAAAGATTGACTATGTTCTGAAAGTGAGACAATTTTTAAGAGTCCAGCTGGGAGGGCCAGAGGAGGAAGAAAAAGAAGGGGACAGCAAGTCCAGTGGCGAGCTGGACTCGGGTTCTTCTGGAGAGGTCTCTCTGTCTGAGAAAGGGGCAGCAGCTCCTAAAAGTCCTTATAAGTTGCGGAAGAGACTGGACAAGAAGAAGTGAAAGCTGAAGGGCTCTGAATTGTGCCTTTGAAAAATTTTGAATTGAGATGCTTTGGGGTATTTCCTGATATCAGTTAAATTTAAGATGTGGGGAAAGTTAACAGACTGTGTGACTCAGTTTGTAATGAGATTAATATGATTAAGACTAGATGTGTATTTAAGCTGATTAGAAGATCTCCTCTCTTGGGTTTTTAGTCAGTAGTGGGTATCTTTTCTTTATCCCCTTAAATGTAGTCCCCTTCCTTATTTCTGTTATAGTTTGTAGTTTTAATAAAAATGCAATAAAAATTCTCCATCGGGGAGGGGGGGGAAGGTAAAGAGAGGGTGGGGGCAAATTTATGTTGGTTACTGGAGCATATGAGAGAATTTCAGAAAATCAGCCTGTGTTTTATAAATTAAAGTAAAGCTTTTGACTGTGTGGCTCATGAAAAGCTATGGTTGGTTTTAAAAGAAATAGATGTGCCACAACATCTGATTGTTTTGATATGCAATCTGTACTCTGGACAAGAGGCTACTATTAGGAAAGAATATGGAGAAACACAATGGTTTCCAACTGGCAAAGGTGTCAGATGATGCATTTTATATATTTATTCAACTGATGTGCAGAACACATCATAAGAAAAGCTGGACTAGATTTAGATGAAGGTGGAATGAAAATTTGTGGAAGGAACACAAACAATGTGAGATATGCAGATAACTCCACACTACTGGCAGAAAATAGTGAAGACTTTAAATTACTACTGATGAAGGTTAAACCAGAAAGTGCCAAAGCGGGATTTCAATGGAACATCAAGGCCCCTGCCACACGGGGTGGAAAGGGACGGGCTGAAGCACAGCTTCTGAAAGCCGCACCAAAAAAAACACGCTGCGGCGGGATCACATTGATCCCCTGAGCCGCGGCGCATTCCCTCCCCGGCACAATCAGATGCCGGGGGAAGCAACGGAGGGGAACGGGAGACTGTCGAACTGTGCATGTCTGAACATGCGCAGTTCAGGCAGGAGCCGGGAATGCGCCGGCAGAAAGACGGGCCAGCGATCCCACGGCCGGCGTTGATGCGGCCGGCATGGATGAACCACCTCGGTAGGTGGTTCATTTTTGATGCGTTTCATCGGGGGAAGGGCCGGATCGGGGATGGGTACGCAACGCTGCCCAGATGTTGCAGTGGGATCGCACCCGTTTGCTCCGGCCCCGATCTGGCCCACTCCCGGCCCAAAGCCCCTCGTGTGGACAGGGCCCAAGAAGACAAAAGTAATGACTACTGGGGA